CGTCTCCAATTTTGATACTACTAAAAACATCAGAGTTTATCTCGTGCCATCGTATGTTGATTAATTTATGATATTTTTTGAAACTTTGGTCACCTGACCTTAAACACAATCACGGGCCTATTTCTAAGTGAGTAAAAATAACTTAAAGCATAAGATTTCCAAAACCTTGAATGAAGGTTGGCCTATAACCACAGAGTCAAAGTGGCTACAAGGTCATCGTCTCTAAGAAAGATAATCATTATTCAACTAAATGGGCATTTTCTAATGACGTCAACACCTCCCCAAACAACTACTCTAAAAAACACGCTTGATACTTCTGATATTGTCGACGAATCATCCATTAGTCAGGAGAGTACTTATTGCTTACTGCCTTGTAAAATGTCATCATGATCTAGACTACAAACTGCATTCTAAGAGAAATGTTGATTTGAACAATCGAACTCAATAGCAAATTCAAAACCTTAAGATAAGGCGCCACCACACAAATCAAGGTTGGATACTATAGTAGGATATGCTTAAGGATGGCAAACTCTTGTTATGGCTATAAATAGGAAGGAACAAAGCTTTAGCACAGACCCCTTTGCACAGGATCTGTACAGGGGCTCTCACATGGGGGGTGGACCTCATGTGTGGGGTCCACTCCCATGTGTGTGCATCTGTACAGACCCTGTGCAAAGGGGTCTGTATGAATAGCACAATTGAAATAGGAATACTGATTCCATTTGAGAGCTAGAGCTCAGCGATCTCTTGAAAACATTACAAGAACACTTCTTAATAATAATTACTCCTTTCTTATAATATTTTGGTAATTAACTCTACTAAGTTTTTCTTAAGCTGATTTATAATTGCCACGTCAATTTTAGTCATCAATAGAAACTATTATTCATCCCAATATGTGAAAGACATTAAATATTATAGCCAATTTTTCTGCTGCTTTGCTCTCGACAAACTATTTGTGTACCCTACATAGGATTGTGATAGATTTTTGAAATTTGTACAACTTATATGGTATAATTAAACCAGCATTTATGCCACCGTAATTAGACAGCTAAAAAAAATCAGAAATAGCGGCCATTAATTCCTTTCCCTATCTACAAAGAAATTTTGCTTTCATTTTCCAATCATTTTTATCAATTAATTTAAGGGAAAATTGCAGCAGCAGTCTTCAACATTTTCATTTTTTGTAGACTTTATCCTAACCTTCATTTTGTGTCATTGGAGATTCCTAACCTTTCATAAATATGCACCCGAAGTCCATTTAGATGGAAATCGTCCAAAATTTTGTCAGTTGAACGGGAAAAATAAGGAATCAACATCCAATAACACTGTCCAAAAAGGTATCAACATTCAATAAAATCACTGCGGTAGCAGATAGTTCAAGAAATTTTCTTGATCAACTGACAGTGTTTTGGACGATTTTCGTCCAAATAGACCTTAGGTACATATTTATGAAAGGTTAGGGACCTCCGCTGGCACAAAATGAATATTAGAGTAAAGTCTGCAAAAAGCGAAAAGGTTAGGGACCGCTACTACAATTTTTCCTTAATTTAATTTCAATAAATATCCTTTGATAGATAGCAATGAAATTAGGTATAAGATTTTTAATTTGGCAACAAGCAACCCATATGCAGATTTTTTTTCCTACTTTTATTTCAATTTTGTATTTAAGATACATGCAGCCTCTAAGAAAAGTCAGAACTAATTGGTCCCAACCTTTTTTAACCAAAACTAGTTAATCAGCACGTCAAGCACGTAACATGCTTTGCTAAAGTCGTTGAAGTGACCAATCTGTAAATGCTAGTAATTAGATGGTTTGATCATAACTTGTTGATTTAGACCTTGTCATCTATCGGTCCATTCGATTGATCGTGTATGTGCTGAACAAAGTAACATAGATAGATAGACTTCGTCAACACGACCAGATCATTATATGAGGTAAAATGATTTCTATTTTGAAAAAGAGAAATTCGTGCAACGTTGAAGGTTAAAGGCTTAAAGAACACGGCTTGAGAGAACTCGTGCAACCATTGATGTAGAGAGGGAAATGGCATGTGTGTGAAATATACGTTGTACGATCTAGTTTTATATAAGAAGAAGTTGAGTAAAAAAACTGTATTGTGAGGTTTTTTGAGTTAAATTGATTCTTCTTCTTCTTCTTTTGTGATTGTCGACGGTTATATATATATTTTTTAATTTGTTTTTTACATTTTGTCTACTTTGCATTTTCTACCCATTGCAACACTAACCACCACTCTACCACGAGTAAACATGTTCCACCAAAAGGAGGAACTTCACCATATACCTCACACCATTTAGATAACATGTGGCCTATGTTTGGATAAACTCATAAGTTACTTTTAAGTTATTTTTTATAATGCAAAAAGCTGTAATCTCCCGAAATGTATGAATAGAAGTGGTGAATGCGTGATTAATATTAAAGTTTTACTTTGATCAAAAATTATATATTACTAATAAAGTTATTTAAACATAATCGCAATGTCCAAGAATGAGAGGATTAACAGAGCTTGAAGAACAACCATAAATGAATCCTACGTTTATCCTAAATTTTCCAAGTAGTCTACGTAACCATTTACCGGTCTTAACGTATATAGTATCTCAATGTTGAGCCTCGAGATCAGTAAGTGGCAATCTTCTTGTAATGAATTTTATGCATCTTTTTATAAGGAAATGAATTTTCGATCACAATATTTTTCCAACCGTTATCACCATCAATATATAGCCTACAATTCAGTTGTAAATTTGATGTGAACCCCACTATTCCATGAAAATGAAAAAAAAAAAAAAAAATTCCAAAAGAATTATTGATGGGGCCATGCCTTATATTATTAATAAAAAGCAT